AATTTCAGCCAAAGGCCTTTCGATGGGAGCCAAATTGTAAAAGTTGGAATCTACAATTAAATTTCATTATTTATGTTGTTTTTATAAATATAAATCAAGTAAAATAAATGTCAATATCTTTACTATAATATATAGACACACATATATATATATATATATATTTATATATACATAAACAACATATTTTATATCTTATATTATTTTCCACTTCAATTCATGATATTATTTCAAATGCCATATTTATTTTTATTTATATATTTTCACTTGTAAAATAAATTTTAAATTTCTAATGACTTTAAAATAATAATCTTATAATTGTTAAATGAAAAAGATTCACGTAAACTATTAGCTATCAAATTATATGTAAACTTGTATTGCATGTGATAAATTTAGTATAAAAGGTATCACTACTTTAAAGATAATTGTTTCATTCTAATGTCAAAATTTACCATGTATTAAAAACACTCTTATATATCGTTGTTTATGAAATTATTTTATGTAAAACAGATAAGCTCAAAAAGTATTCCTTAACTCTTTTAAGGATATAGATAATTTTAAGTTTTAATTAATTAAAATGTATTTTTGTGATTTGGAGTGAAAAAAAAAATAAGTGTGCTTATAGCGATGAAGTGATTATTCGTAGTCATTACATGTAATATATATATATATAGATACACGAGTATTTAATGGGTATTCATATGTGGTTATCTACTAAATATAGAAATTTGAAAATTCAGTGTGGAAAAATTCAATATCATTAATTTTTATAATTTTTTGCCAACTATCTAATTTATTACAACTCTCTTATCAATATATAAATTCTTTTTAATTAGTTATATTTGCAAGCATTTTCACTTAAAATAATTAAAACGAAATATTATGGGAAGATTAGTGGTAAAAAAAATTATATTTAATAAGTAACTATCTATGAAAACGTGACTATTGAAATATTTTTTGTGTATCAACCTATACACATTATTCTGGTTAGTTAAATTTAGAATCAATTGTCGTATTTTCAAATAACCAAGGGTTCATTTAAAAAAAAAAAATCAAAAGAGAACATTTTAGGATTTTCCCATTTAATGTCGACTGAATAAGGGCAATACTAGGCAGGAACCAACGCTGCAGTTTCTTTAGAAGATTGGCGGCACTTTCTCGCGTCTTAAATCAAATACCACGCGCTCTTTAAGCACAGCCAGAAGCAGCCCCTTCGTAATCGGTGGAAAAGGAAATTAACAAGCATTAAAGCTTCGTTCACTTCGTAAATTTAAGTTTTTAATTCAAATTGAAATGTGATATTTTTTAAAATTTTTTATTATAATAAAAAAAATTAGATGTGACATATTTTAAAAAAATTTTATTATAAAAATTTAAAATTAAAAATTTAAATTAGTAAAATAAACGAAGTCTGAACATTAACCTTTTTTATTTAAAAAAATCACAGGTGCTTTTTGACTGAATATACTTATGATGGCTCTTTAATTTTTTTGACTGAAAAAGTAAAACTACGACAATGTTCATCTGCTCGTTGTCTTTTCAAACACAAGTTCGTGTCCAAACATTCCTGATTATCAATTAATGTCGCATTGAATTTCGGGATAAATAAGAAAGAACGGCGTGTTTTTTATTTTTTATATTTTTGAAAGGTTATTTTTTGTTTTTACGTTTTTTTTTCTTTTCCTTTTTTTAATATTTCAACGGCAGGTTTACGAGACCGTAATAGTAGAACATAAGGGGGAAAAAAAGATAGGCTTAAAAAAGAAAAGTAAAATAATTACAATAGGATCGCAACGATCATTTGAGAGCGAGAAGCGGGTAATTGGGAGGTTTACGATCATTTCGGTACTCAACAATCACGAACTTATAATATACTAGTTGAAGCCCACATGCTATGCATGTAGGTAGCAATTCGTGTGTTAAGTTTTAGATACATGTTATTATTAAAAGCATATAAAATTTGAATATAAAATCTCAAAAAGAAAAAATGAAAAGAAAGTAAAATTTTAGGGCAAGAAGCTAAAAAGGGTAAGAAAATGACTAAAATAAAAAAATAAATAAGTTTTAAGACAAAAAGAACAAAACGGAAAAAAAAAAAATTTTCAATGTAAAAATAAAAAAATGGTTAAAAGGGGGCCAAAATGAAGAGGTAAATAAGTCTTAAGGCAAAAGAAATCAAAACGAAAAAATGAAAAAATAAAAAAAGGTAAAAAAGGGCCAAAATGAAGAAATAAATAAGTCTCAGAGCAAAAGGAACCAAAATGAAAAATAAAGTAAAATTTCAGGACAAAAATAAAAAAAGGGGAAAAATAAGACTAAAATGAAAAAATAAATTCGTCTCAAGGCAAAAGTAACCAAAACAAAAAATGAAATTTCAGGACAAAAATAAAAAAAAGGTAAAAAAATGGTGAAAATGAAGAAATAAATCTTTTTCAGGGTAAAAGTAAAAAAATAGCGAAAAAAGGGACACATGGAAGAAATAAATAAATTTTAGGACAAAAGAAACAAAAATAATAAAAAAAGAAAGAATAAGATTGTAGGACAAAAAAAAAGTTAAAAAAGGAAATAAACTGAAGAAATAAATAAGTTTTACGGCAAAGGAACCAAACAGAAAAGATAAATTATCAAGGCAAAAATAAAAAAGGGGTCAAAAAGTGCCAAAACGAATAAATAAATAAATTTTAGGAAAAAAGAAACCAAAAAAATTAAAATAAAGTTTTAGGACAAAAATAAAAAGAAAAGATAAAAAAGGATTAAAATGAAAAAGGTTAATAAGTTTTAGGGCAAAAACAAGAAACAAAAATAAGAAGAGGGTCTTGAAAAAAAAAAGAAAAGAGGGAAGGGAGAGCACTTTCAACCAAAACGGTTCAAAAGTGCTCCAACGGTAATGCACTTTCGTATTTCTATTAAGGTTTATTACAGTGACACCTTATGTATTTTGTTATTATTACAATGATACCTTCCTAAACAAAACTAATAACATCAAAATACATGTCTCAAAATCTATTAAATTTATCTATAAAATGTTAAAACTATCCCTTTTAAAACCAACCATTGATCTACAAAAATATCATCCATTCAATCTTCTTCATTTGAGGAAAAACAAAACATAGATCACATCATCATTTTTGGTAAACTAATAACATCAACAGCCTTGTCTCAAATTCTATTAAATTTATCCGTAAAATGTCAAAACTACCCCGTTTAAATACCAACTTTTAATCTACAAAAATCTCGTCCATTCAATCTGCTTCATTTGAGGAAAAACAAAACCCAAATCAGATCTTCCTCTTAATCAAAACTAATAACATCAACACCCTGTCTCAAACTCTGTTAAATTTAACTGTAAAATGTCAAAATTACTCCTTTTAATACCAACTTTTGATCTACAAAGATCCCATCCATTCAATCTTTTTCATTCCCAAATCACATCTTCCTCTTAACCAAAACTAATAATATCAACACCCATGTCTCAAAATCTGTTAAATTTATCTATAAAATGTCAAAACTACCCCTTTTAATACCAGCCATTGATCTACAAAATTATCATCCATTCAATCTTCTTCATTTGAGGAAAAACAAAACTCATATCACATCTTCCTCTTAACGAAAACTAATAACATCAACACCTCTATCTCAAACTCTATTAAATTTATCTATAAAATGTAAAAACTACCCCCTTTTAATACCAACTTTTGATCTATAAAAATCCCATCCATTCAATCTTCTTCATTTGAGGAAAAACAAAACCCATATCACAGTTTATTTTTACCACCCACCCTCCCTTGGAACCTTCCCTCCCTCGCTGACGGCAGCCCATGCCTAACGGCAACCCAGCGGCGACACCAACTCAACCGCGAATGCCACCCTATTTAAAACTTTAAATATCAAATTATGCTATAATCTATTATTTTAAAAAAAATATATACTATAATTTATTAAATATACTACTAAATATGCTACTTCTCTCCTTATCCCCATATACTATATGTATGATTAAGAGAAATTATTTAAATATAAAGAAAATATTCTAGGTTTTAAGCAGCCAAAAAATGTATTAATGACTGTTTTATTTTTAATATTTTTTAAGTATGACAAATGTTCGGGGTTTAGCCTCACGGTACTAATCTAATGCTATAACAGTTTTTCTATAAATATAGTCTTATATTTTAATATCTCATCTTTTTCTTAAAAAGAGAACTTTCATCGCTAAATAAATTAGAAATACTATATATGAAAAATCACAATGAGAATGCTTGAAGAAGAGAATAAGGATATAAATGGGATTTTTAATTTATTATTCGTGAATAAAAAGTTCAAATGTAAATTAAAAAGATTTTATAAGTTTTTTTTTTCATAAGCACCGAAGAGATAATTTATTTTAAAAAAAAAAAACATATAAAACTATAAGAGATTACAACAGATAAAAGCTTAAGAACGTAATCAATGTGTCCATCCAAATGCGTTTAAAAGCAACTTTTGTACTCACTAAACTAAAAACGTCTTATTTTAAGTGAACAAGACCAAATAACTGATCATGGAGCTCCCCAGTACACAAATAAAATACTAGTTGATCCCTCTGCGGCCAATCATGCCGTAAATTCATTAATTATGTTTGGATTGACTCGATGCCTTCGTTTGTTGGCTCGTATGTACTTTTACTGATTTAGCAATTGAGTAATAAAAAGCCAAAGTAAGTTTTATTTTCAAAAAAAAAAAAAAAAAAAAAAAAAAAAAAAATATGTAAAAAAAAAAAAAAAAACAATCAATATGTCAAATAAATCAATGCATGAAGAGGAACAAAATATTCTTGTGTATGTGACAATGGGTATAATTAATCATATTACAATTTTAGGCTCATCTTTTTCTCCCACGCACTAAAAAAAAAAAAAAAAAAAAAAAAAAAAAAAAAAAAAAAAAAAAAAACACTAATCACTGATGATCCCACCTATATTTATAAAAATGAATGAACAACCAACCACAAAACTTTAACTTTCAACAAGTTATTTATTGAATTGCATGAGCTTTGGAGCAAACCTCAACAACCTACCCAAAGTATTGGGCAAGAATTTCCTTGCAAACAAATGGCAAATATTGGTTCTCTTTCCATTGTACTCACAACTGTGTCCATGCCTCAACTTTTCCAATAGTTCAATGGTCACATCTTGTCTCATAAACTTTGTTGGATGTGGGCCACCCTTTGACCAGTCAACCCAAGTCAACGTCCTATTTGAATTCTTTTTCCAAAATTTGATGCTCACAAATGTGGGCAGATAATGCTCGTCGGTGTAACATGAGCTGCGGCAAAACCTCCTAAAGATTGGAAAATATTTCTGGTCCGCAACAACCTCAATGGCAAGGGCCCGGTCCATCTCGAACCACTGCGAGCCCTTACGCCACTGGTCCAGTTTAATTTGGGGCCTCATTCGAGAGCTGTAGCGGCCTCGGCCCACGGGCCCAATTAAGTCGTAGGCCTCCACAAAGGACTTGGTTGAGCCCATTAAGTACTCGTAGACTGTAGAGAAGTTGAACAAAGGAATGCATGCCTCGGAAAGAAGAACAAAACGTTCGTTGGTGAAGTCAAGCAGAGCATTGGCTAACAGGCGTCTCTCTGCTTCCACCATGTTGGGATTTCCCCATCTCACATCCTGCAATAATATGGAACCCAAAAAAATAAAAAAAGTTGTGAAAGTTGAGAAAAGGGGAAGAGAAGAAGAAAGAAAATGAAAAACTAGAGAATTAACCCTTAAGAGTGTATGAGTCTAAATCTTTATTCTTTATTCTCGATAAGTACTCTTTTATTAGTGTAATTATTTGATTAAAAATGTTATGAATCAAGAGTAAAATATAAAAATCCTAACTCATACACTTTTAATGAATATTGGTCAAGATTGCCTAAAGAAAATTCCCAATTTATAGGTTCAATATGTTTTGACAATTAAAAAAAAAAACAGAGAGAGAGAGAGAGGGAGGGAGAGACTTAGAAAAAAAAAATACCCTCTGTCTCTTTTTCTAAAGGGCAATTTTGACAAATACTCTTTAAAATGATATCATTAAGAATTTTTAGGTCTCAATATTGGCCTATTAAATTTTGCCCTTTAGAGTAAGTAATTTGACAGATTATTATTGAGATTTGACAGATGTCGTCAGCGACCATCGGCAGGTCTCTGGTTGCCCACGGCGGGCATAATTTAACAAATTATTGTCTAAAATTTGACAAATTATTATCTATAATTTGACAGATTATTATCAAAGGGGTGGCCTATCACAACAAAAGGATAGAACTTCCGAAGAATGTGTTTAATGGTCAATTTTTGCAATTTTCTCATTTCTTTTCTAAAAGTTGTAAAAACTACGTAGAATTGAAATATAAGTCTTTTTATAATATTTCTGGAATAACACAATTATTTAGTAATTATTATCACAATTTTCATGTTTTATGCTATAGAATTACATAAAAATCCTATAAAAAAATTACGCAGTGATTATTATAATGATTTTATTTTTTGTTATTTGTAAAGTCTCTACATTTTGTGTTTTATTTAAACATGAATAGTAGGATTATGCTATACACATAACCCAGATGTTATGAGAGAAATATTAAGAAACATAAAAATAAAAGAAGGGGCTTTTGGAATGAAGAAATAAGGGCCAAGTCCCTCATTTGGGGAATCATGCTTATGGTTCGCACAAATAAGAATCATATAGCATGGATGAAACCAACATGTGAATTGGAAGCTTTAAATTGAGGTACTAAATAAGGATAATTTTTTTACACTTTCAAACATTGTGCTTTTTTTTTTTCTATGAATATTTCAAACATTGTGCTTTTTTTTTTTCTATGAATATTTCAAACATTGTGCTTTTTTTTTTTCTATGAATATTTCAAACATTGTGCTTTTTTTTTTTCTATGAATATTTCAAACATTGTGCTTACTGGAAAGGAGAACTTTTGTTTGCTTTTGTTGGTTAATTTTCTTTATGACAAAAAGAGGGAGACAACAAGAAGAAAGGAATGTATAAAAGTATTGAATACTAAAAAGGTGATTGCATTGGGAAGAACAGAATTTTCTTGATGTTACAGAAAAAGAGTAGAATCCAAGCAATGCAAGAAAACAGATCAATATTTGCTACATCACTACTCAATCCCAAGGGAGCTGTGCATCTTAATTCTCAAGTCAGAACTCAGAAGAGATAATACTCAAAGTACTACATGGTAATTTCTTTTATTATTGTGTTATTTAATTATAGTAGCACAAAACTCAAAAGAATGGAATTTTGTATAAATAAATAAATAACTAAATAAATACTAATTCAAATACTAAGAAGATTTTCTGAAAAAGAACAAACAGATAGCTCTTCCGCAAGAGGGAAGTAAATCAAACAAGCATCGTTACAAAGAATTAATTAAGCAACATCTCTTGGTGCATGGCTAGCTAATTCACTCTTTAAATATTATGAATGGTCATTAATTTCCTAGGTTTTGGGATAAAATTGATCAAAGTTTTGTTGACTAGTGATCAGAATTCATGAGTATGATTTTTTAATCTCTGACACATTATAGATATTACAAATTTTAATTTAACTATAACTATTCCTTCTCTACAAAGATTTATAAATATTCTGCCAATAGACTTCAAAATTTTGTTTAATATTGTTCCCTTTCTTGTCAATTTTTGCTAGCTTTCAAATGTGTTAAATTTGTACTTTGTTTAATGTAATTTCTAGGAGCTTCTTCCTAATATTAATAATGGTCCTCTGCAATTTGTTTGCTAATAACAAGTAATCTATGAGTAGCTTATCTCGGTGGCAACAAGATAGCGTTTTCATTTGACCTCTAACAAAATTGACTCTTCAAATGCATATAGATAGGTGTTTCCTAACCAACAAATTATTGACAAATAATTTTTGGAGTTCCAATAAAAAAATTAATTCAAGAGAGAGATAGATACTCATATTATATATATTCCTTGACAATCAAAGTGAAGTTTCGAAAATGTGTACCCAGTTGCCAACTCAGTATATTAATTTACTTGGCAACCGCCCCTAGATCAACTCATATGTTAAATAAATAAACAGAAAATAAATAAAAAAATACATATTATAAATGAATTATATATGTGGGTCTGCTACACGTACGTATATATGTATATAGGAAAATGATTAAACAATGCTTAATGTACATGGCTAGTTAGTTTAATGCCTAAATATGATGAAATTGCTGATCATGACAAGCCAGGTACATGGTGAATATATGTATGCCAATGTGTGTGTATATATATATACTAGGAATATTATTTCAACACTTAATTATAAGCTAATTCTTGTCGGTGACACTTGCCCAAGTAAAAAAGAATCCCTATGAAATTCTCCACTAAACAAGGCGTATTACGTGCAAGCTAGACTAAAAAATGACCCTAAAACATGTGCATCACAAACCAAAAAAAAAACCATTAATCCACTCTTCCTAAAATCTTTATATATTATGGGCATGCAAATTAACCTGAAAGGAATTACATGTTGAGTAACAATTTGAACTTTTCACTAAAAAGGAAAGCGTTTGATAACGGTTTTCTTTGTCTTAATTTTAATCACTGATAATTATCACAATGTGTTCTATCTATAGACGTATCATTAGTACTGTTGATATATCATATGCTGGTGGAACTGTAATTAAATATAATTTTTTGGCATGCACATACATATAGAACATTTACCATAAATCCAGGTAAAATAAAGTAAATACTAATTAAAAACATTTTCCCTCTTTTTTGCTAAGATAACTAAATCCGAAAACAAACGCTTTCAGTGTTGCATTGTGATTTTCGTCAAACACATCATACATATATATATATATATATATATAATTAAATAAATAAACTCACAACACAAAATTTTGATATTCATCATATATATGTACTGACCTGACTAGGAATCCATCTCCCATAAAATGCAGAATCTTGAGACACCGTTGCATTGAAGGAGAGATTGGAATGAACATAAACAGAAAAGAACCCTTCGTTTCCTTTAAAGAACCGGTCCCAAAGAGGAGCCATCGTAACGTCTCCTCTCGCCAAGAACAAGAAAGCAATTTTCGGTGTGAACTCGAGAGGGACTCTCCCCGCTTTCGGCACCATGGAGGCTCTCCAAAGCAACTCCTCGTCGTCCATGTCGTGCCTCACCGTCGGCGGTTTCAAGAACTCGATTAACCCGATTCGAGTACTGGTACTCGTACTAGTGTCCGAGACATCCTCGGCTATGGTTTCTGGTGAGGGTGAGGATAATATTTCCAATGGTGGTGGAGGAGAATTGGGAAGAGATGACATTATTGGTATTGGTTTTGATTCATGAGAAGTAGAAAGATTGTTATAAAGATTAGAACTAGAAGCTGTGATATTGGTTTGGTGGTCTTTGAATTGGTAGAGAGTGAAAGGGAAGTCTTGGAGGTAGGAACTGAAAGTGATTCCGATGGCTAAACCGGAACCGAAGATTAGGAAGTGAAAGATGAGCCTGTGGATGTGCATTTGGAGGGTCAAGAGTTTGGGACATGAGGCGACAAAAGGAAGATTATGTTTTTGTTGCTTAATAGCCATTGTAGCAATGAATTTGAGGTGTGGAAAATTATTAAGGCAGGGAGGGAGAGGAAGAACTTTTCGCCTTCAATATAACGCTTGTTTCTCTCTCTACAGAGAGAGAGAGAGAGAGAGAGAGAGAGAATATGGAAAGCTTTAAGAAGTGCGAAAAAGATTCTTAAATTGGCCTACGCACACGCCAGTATTTATGTGATGTTTGCTCACATACAAACAACGGACAAGGAACTTAATATTCATACAATACACACAAATAGAAAAAATAAATAAATAAAGAAAATCTTCTTTACCGACGTTAATAATACGAGGGATAGTTTTTTTTTCAGCCGTCAGATATGTATCAAAAGTTGATTGTTTTACATATTCTTTTAATCTCATTTAATTTTAATTAAATTTAACAGTGATATTACCGATAAGACGGCCTACCGGAGACAATCCCATTTAAATTTGTATATTTTGTACAAATGATTTTTTTCTTAAATAATTTTTAATAAATTTAATTGGCGTGGCCAATATGGAAGACAACTTGAAGAGTGTATTGACGCTAGTTGTCTTTAATGAAGGAAAAGGAAAGTAAATGAAAATAGTCCTATAAGTATGAAATATTATTTATGTAATACGAATACTTGCTGCTTATACAAATGGGAAACTGAAGGTCAAATTAAATAAGGTAGTACTTTAATTTCTCAAATAAGACAGATAATTGCTTCATATTTTCCGTTTGAATTTGCTTGAAATTACCGTATTTCTTTGGATTCCATTATTTGGTTCCATAAATGTATTTACCTAATAAAAGAGAAAATCCCCCATAGCAAATAGAAATGAGGAGAATTGTTTTAAGTAATTTCCTTTTTCTGTCGGTTTGCAGACATTAATTGATCCAGTAAAGTTCTGACTGATAAATTATTTCTAGTCGTTATAAGCGACTAAGCGTATAAAAGGAATACATACTTTTATAAAAAATCAATAAACATATTTGACTGCCAAAATTTGATTACAATTTATAAGAGTACGGTCTGGTGCATGTGATCAAGAATGAAAATATTCATATTTATAAAAATATCAGTATTTAAATTTTACGAAAATATTGAAGAAAATATTAATATCAGTAGAAATTGACGTAAAAAGCAGAAATGTGTACTTAAACAATTTATTTTCAAATGAGACTTTAAAAAATTAGACTAAAATAAATAATAATATATTAATTAGATAAAACTCTCAATTAAAATTCTAATAATTTGATGAATATGCAAGGTAAAGTGTGATCATAATACCATTAAAGATGAGAAAGATCAACATTTTCACCAAAATATTTCCACGAAAATTTTCATATTTTGCAAGTACTGATATAAAAATAAGGATGTAGTATCTTTGATCTTTTCGGCCAAATATCTTAAAATTTCCATGGAAATTTCTAAAAGGAGTTATTTTAGACAAAAGGAGCTTTTAGAAGGTTCGGAAGTATTTTGGACACATTTTTAGTTTAAACAATATTAATCATACTAAAACATGAAGTTTGAATAGTTTCCCATATAACTTTAAACGTGTCATATATATACGTCTCTCAAAAGAAAGGCTAAAAAAGTAAAAAAGAACATAATTTTAATATTTTGAAAAGTAAACTAAAAAATATATATAAAGTTACAAAAAATTTTAAGATATTTTACAAAAAAAATACTACGCACTTATTTTCATATCAATACTTATAAATACGAAAAGTTTTGGCAAAAATATCGATTTTTTCATCCTCATGATTGGTCTTGATGAAGCGCAGAATGGGGGAAAGAAAAAAAAAAGAGAAAAGAAATTAAGCGTTGACAAATTTTTTTTGGAAAAAGAAAAGGCATACGAACTTGGATCAAAATGAGAGGTGGACTAAAATTATGTACGCTTAGTGTGCATTTTAACGTAAAGAAAGGCGGACCAATATTATGTATGGTACAATGTGCATTTGCACATTGCGAAGGTTGAAAATATGGATATCAATGATAATTTTGGTACTATTCATATTTTCTTTAAATCTTAATACTTCTTTTTGATATTTTAGGATATCATTTTTTTTATAAAAAAAAAAAAAGAAGAGCTTTACATAAAAAAATTTTAGAGTTAAATCTATTAATAGTCACTAAACTTTTTTCTCCCTCTAAAATTAGTCTTTATAGTCAATTTTGTCACATCAATAATCTATAAAGTCAAAAAGTGTCTTGTAAATAGTCTCTTTGTTAAATTTTGGATGAAAACTATTAATTTCGTCTTATAAAAGGTCTATCTTCTCTCTTTAGAAATAGCCCTATATTAAAAGTTATACTAAATTTAAAACCGTTTTCCTGCCATTATGGTTTTCTCAAATAGTTATCAAAAAGATGACGAGAGAGAGAATTTAAGCGAGATCAATCAACAATAATGGAGGAGAGGGGTTTGAGATAATGGGGATTTTATAATTTTCAGTAGCGCTGGTGAAAGACTGCGAAATGGAGGGGTTTGATATATATACACATATATAATATTGTAAAATAGAAGCTTCGTCGAATGGCAAAGGAAACATCTTGGTAGGATCAATGCAAAATCGACGTGACCGACGCCCGCGATCATCTGATGCAAGACTTTGACGTCAATTCCCTCAAGTCAACCCACATATATACATATATATATATATATATATATATATATATTTCAGACCTTCTTAATAGGTCGATCATCTTGGTAGGATCAATGCAAAATCGACGTGACCGACGCCCGCGATCATCTGATGCAAGACTTTGACGTCAATTCCCTCAAGTCAACCCACATATATACATATATATATATATATATATATATATATATATCAGACCTTCTTTATATGTCGATTCATAATTTGACTGGAAATATGTCCGTGTAGTTTACGTACAGTACTACTACTAAAGTAAAAAAGTCTTACTGAGGTTGTTTCTGGGAAGGATCGGATCGGATCATGATCATCGTAGGACCCAAAATTAGGTGACAAGTCGAACTAAAATTCATGACTGAGGTTCTTGCTTGTAATTTAGAACAGAGGCTTTTGTGATTAGTCAATTTAATTACAATAAAAAGAAAAAAGTCCTTTGACATGGAAAAAAAAAAAAGAAAAAAAAAATCTACTCCAGTGCATTTGTGAATTTCCTAGCGATATATGGACTACGAAGCCTAGATCCTTAATGAGAAATCAATGGCTCCAGATGGTGTTACTCATAAAAATTAAGAAAAGAAAAAGAAAAGACAACTATATTTAATTGATCACTGCTTTTCTTTCTAGTTTGACGATTATTAAAAAAAAAAATGATTTACATTAATTTTATAAAATATTACTACCACCAATCATATTTCAGTAATAATAAAAATAGTTTTTTGTTTCACAGTTTTTTTAAATGATCACCTCACTTTAAAAAAAAAAATCAAAAATGAATATTTAAAAAAAATCGAAAAACATAATTAAAACAAAAATAGAAAGAAAAATCGAATATTATGGTCCCAAACCACCGTGGTCTCCACCCTCATGTTACAAGACCCAACAACGATTGGGTCTCAGGCCTTGCCCACAGCTACAAGCTTCCACGGCCTAGGGTGCGACCCCACTCCACATATTGGTCGTGACATTACCGTAGTTGGCATTTATTTATTTCTTTAGTTTAAAATCTACGTCCCTAATTTAATGAGATTGATTGTCAAAAAAAAAAAAAATATATATATAAATAAAATCATTGACATGAACTACTCCATGCTCTCACTGTACGACCACAAAAATCTAAGTTTTTTCCTTAATTTTGCTTTTAGCATTTTGAGAATCTTCGTAAATTGTACGATATTAATTATTGATCAAAAAACTAGGAAAAGCTTGTATTTTTGTAAAGCATACAAACTAGTTTTTTCCATAAACTTGTAATGCAAACAATTCACATACCAGAAGGATAAGAAAAAGAATTTCTATGAGAGAATTGCTAGCTGAAGCAACGTGAAATGCAAGATAGTACTCTTTTTAAAGGCGGAAGACTATTTCAGCAATCTGTAGTTGATGCTAGAGATGCAAGAACGGGCCGACCTAGCCTAGCCCGGCCCGTTCTCCTTAGGCCCACGCGGGCTGTGGGCGGGGCCGGGCTGGCCCATATAAGAACTGGCCCATTCAAGGCCATTTTGGCTCATCATGGATTTAGATGTGCCAGCCCAACTAAGTATGCAGTTTTTAATTTTTAATTTTTAATTTTTAATTTTTGAATTTTTACACAAGTTAACGAATATAAAAGTTTGAATAGTCAATGGAAATATGAAATTGGATATTTTATTTACATCAGGATAATTTATTTAAGAAAAACCTAGTGGGACAAAACCTTAATAAGGAAAAAAGAGTACAATCAGGATAATTATACATAAGATGTTTACAAAATTACTAAAAAAAATGAAGATATTATGGGCTTAGATGGGCCAGGGTGTGTCGGCCCATTATGGGCCTAGACGGGCTAGGCTGGGCCAGTCCAAGCCCAGCCTGGCCCATGATTTTTCATGGGTCGTGCCAGGCCGGCCCATTGGCTGATATCTGTTGGCCCAGCCCAGCCCACCAATATTTATGGGCTGGGCCGTGCCTTGAACAGTGATGGGCCATGCCTATGACGACTCAATCTAGAAAGCCGTCTCTTAAACTTACCATCATGAATTCATTTAAAATACTTTTAATAATTAAAGTGAAATTTTCTGAAATTTTTTTTTCAAAAAGTCATACATTAAATTTTAAATTATAAGTGAAGTCTCGGTCTTCTTAAAACCATACTACATACATATAATTAAAAAGGTCTTATCATAGTAAAACATATTGCGGAATAAAAATGTCAGCAGTATCCATTACCCATTCTCCACATTGCTCGCCTACTGTTGTGCGTTGTCCATCATTCACTTTTCATTTGTTACTTTCTTACAGTATAAATACATCTTAGGGGTGAGTTTATACTGAGTAAGTAGGAATTTAAGTCTCGCTAACTAAAAACAGAGTACTT